TAGCATTAACATAGTGCCAAAACCACTGTTCACATGTGTCTGAGTAACAACTCCTGTCACTACCTCATGAGAGAAAGGAGCCCCTACCAGCTGGAATAACCAGAACATACCACAATTTCAAACATGTCTTGAGTATCTTTTTCTGGAAAGGTTTTTGCTATAGGGCATGTGCACTCGCCAGAAAAACAGAGACAGAAAGTAAGAAATCACCACTCAGGGGTATGGCCACACCGGTCCCTTCTCCTCTATTCTCCTCTCAGGATCTTGGGCACACACGCACACATGCCCAGCATGAGTTTAAGCCACCACCAGGTCCAGGACTCAAACTGCGGTTGACTACATGGAAGTCCAGCAACATAGCTATTATGCCAACTGCTGGTCCCTTGAGTATCTATTTTTCAGTTACTATGCTGAGCATTATGGTTACAGAGATAAGTGATACAGTTTGAACATCACATTGCTTCAAGTCCAATGAAGGAGGAAAAGAAACATAAAAGCCATCATTGTGATAAATGCTAGAACAAGGTCATTCTGCAGGCAGTCTTAAGAATCTAGTAAACTGAATGTGAATAAAACAGAAGTGAATTCCAAGTCAAAGGAACAACTGATGAAAATACAAGGAATGGGAGAAGGGACTAAAAGGTCCAAAGGTAGCTTATTATGTCTGGGAGCACAGAGTAAAAGTTAGGGAAGACCAGAGATGAGAGACTGAAGAAGCACGTACAGCTGGATTTTGAATGGCATTGTCTACCATATACAGAAATTTTAGTTTCTATCAAAGGCAGTGTGAAGACACTGAATAATTGTCAATAGAACAGAGATATAATCAGATTTCACTTTTTGAATGACTGTCTTCTGGGGTTAGCAGGTGGCGTGGTGGTTAAGGTGCTGAACTTGCATATGGCTGACCGCAGTTTGAGTCCTAGATCTGGAGACTTGAAAATCACACCAGGCATGTGTGTGTGCAAGCCCCAAATCCCAAGAGAAGAGTGGAAGAGAAGGGATTGTGGTGTGGACATCCCCTCAGGGTGTGATTTCTTACTTTCCCTCTCTCTGGCAAGTACATGTGCCCTAAGGTAAAAACCTAAAATAAATAAATAACTATTTTTGCATTTTGGATATTGGATAAAGGGTATTTGATATCAAAGGCAGGGAGACTAGTTAATTCAGCTATATTTCAAGTGAGGGATGTCCAATCTAGGACAGTGGCATTAGGGATGCAAGAACACTAATGTGCATTAACACATTTTTATAAATGCAGGCAAGATAGATTTGGTGACAGTAAATGTGAGTTTAAGGGAGATGAATGAAACTAAAACCCAGGCTTCTGGGCTGAATAATGAGTTACTTAAAGTAATTTTCACGAAGATAGAAAAATGTAGTAAAGTTTAAGACTTGATATGCTGAGTTTGAGGTACATCAAATCATGTACTCAGAGATGCCAAGACTGGTAGACATAAATGTTTGGATTCAGGGAAAAATGAGGACTGGAAGGTATAGGTTATGGTCTAAAGGTCATAAGAGCAAGCCAGTCTTCTGGTCACCAATCTTCTCTGCTCAAGCCTGTCCTGCCTCTTCCCTACTACAAATGAGTCTGTGAACTAAGCATAGATCAAAAGCTGTTCCTGAGTCATTAGCTTTAGAAATGAGCCTGACCTACTCTCTTAAACTGAGAACAGACAGGCCAGTAAAAACTCAGATTTTCAACTTTACTTGGTGCTCCTTTGGCTGTGGCTCACTGTTAAATATTCTTCTTAGCCTTGGCAACCTGGCTGACATTTACAATTTGAACTTGGACTTCTTACTGTTTCTGCCAACCTGACTTCAACCATCCCCTTAGCCAATTTATGAAACATAGCCTATGCTGGCCCAGGTGGTGTTTTTTTCATAAATATTAAAAGGAAAAATGTGTATCATATGGCATTCACTGTCTTAGAGCAGAGGCTACCTTTGTATGAATTAGATAAAGTACCTTTTGCAGATGGCAGCTCTGACCTGAGCTAAGGCTCCTGTTTTTGATGAGAGTACGTAAGCCCAGTTTTGATACTAAATCATTCTGTATCTTATACTGAAGTACCATCAACAGCTATCATGCATCTTTTTGTCCCTAGGGAAGTGATATCTGACAGTAGATTTGAGTAGTCCTAACAATAAAGAAGACCGTATTGCAGACTTTGGGAATTTTCATTTGAAAGTATGTAGAAGTCTTAATAAGTAACAAGGGTTAAGCACCTTTATCCTCCATCCCCTGCACAGATTGCCCATGAGAACACTGCCTAGAGTTAGGGCAAGCCTAGCTCTCTGGATTTTGCTAGAACAGAGTTTCCTGTTTGATAGCCAGAACCATGTTCAGAAGTAAATAAATGTCTCTCAGCAGGTTATATAGGGTAGTGAATTCTATCAGGTACTTAGTGGGTGAAACTGAGTTTTTCAGGCTAGTTTGAGAAAACAATAGAGTGTTAGTAATTCAGATGAATGAATATGCATTAGGTTGAAGGATTTGTTTCCTGTCTTGAAAGAAATTTAGCCAATTGCAAATTGTCTCTGCTATGAAGTCTCTGAGCTCCTCTGGTATGTTTAAAGGAACTAGATATGGATCTTTGGAAATGATTCCCTAGACTAGGAAAACAGTAAAAGAAGCTTTTGTAATCCATTTATCAGCTGCCTAAAGATTCACAGCACAGCTTCAAAAATATGCCTCTGCCAAAAGGGCCCTGCTTATTTCCAAGAGAATATCTTGGAAGGAATGCCCATGACACATATTGGTGATGAAAACAGATGACAGAAAAAGATTTTCAAAGGCTATACAGATCCTGTAACATCTGAAGAGATATATTTCTCTTCACTTCCTGTGTCATTTAAGAATTGACTAAAGACAGATTATGATTTTGTGAATGGACAAGAAAATTAAATACCCTCAAATTTTTATATAATTATTAATAAGTTATCCTGTCCCTATCTTGAATGAACTAATTTGGAAATAAATTATCTGCCCAAGGATAATTAAGAGCTTATTCTAAAAACAAAGGAATAAGAAAGAAAAAAAAATACTGTTAGGAAAGTTGCTAAGATAGGTCCCCAATGCCTTCTTAATAAATTACTTTCCCTTAAAGAAGCAATACACAATGAACTATAGCATCATGTTAAAAATAATGGTTTTCTCTTTTTTAACTTACACTGTTAGCCTTAAAAAAAAAAATCAATTGATGTACAAGAAGTTCTTTCTTCTTGGCTTGAGGAATAGTCTAAGAAGGTAGTCTTGTGCAAAACTCTGGTATATCCACCAGCCATTTATCAAAGTGACACAAGATGTGGATCACAGTAAATATAATTACTACATATTACACTTTTCTTTTATTATTTTTAATTAGAATGCATTTTTTAAAAAATTAAGCTTTATTTAAATAAAAACAGAGAGATTGTGGTCATCAAAGAGACAGACACAGAAAGCGAGAAATTACCCCCAGGGGGATGGCCATGCCACAATCCCTTCTCCTCCATTCTCCTCTTGGGGTTTTGGGCATACATGGACATGTGCCTCCCATGAGTTTAAGCTGCCAGGTCTTGAACCACGGTTGACTACGTGGGAGTCCAGTGATGTAACCATTTCACCATCTTCTGGACCCAAGCTTTAATTTTTAAAGTAATTTTAGGTTTGCAGCAGAATTAAGAGGAAGATATGAGGTTTCATATTTATCCCCAAGCCCCCAATATGCACATTCTCTCCCACCATCAGAAGCTTCCACCACAATGTTACATTTGTTGTAACTGATGAACCTCCACTGACACCTCATCATCACCCAAAGTCCACAGTTCATATTAGGAGTCACTCTGGGTGGTGTACATTCATGGATTTCAACAAATGTATTATGACATATATCCACCATTATATTGTACAGAATAGTTTCACTGTCCTAAAACCCTTCTGTTCTCTGCATATTCATTTTTCTACCTGACACCTGCAACCACAGATTTTTTTTTCCTCCTTAATTTTTTCTTGCTCAGAATGTCACATATTTGGAATCATATTATATGTAGCTTTCAAAGACTGACTTACACTAAGTAATATGCATTACCTTTTTTAAAAGGTAGCACAAAAATTTTCCAGAGCCTTGTGTGTTGGCACAGAGTACAGTCATAGGGATCCTGGAGATCAAGACTTAGCTGCTAGTTTTGTTCCTTTGGGTAACTCACATTTATTCAGCCTTGGTTTCCTCATCTTTTACGTGAGAATAACATTAACTTAGCATATCCCACTAACTTTATTATGTTGTTGTGAAGATCAGTGTTTTGTTTTGTTTTTAGAAAATGAAGGTAGTAATGTCTTATAGCATTGTTGTATGGACTAAATAGTCAAAGAATGCAGAGTGTAGCTATGTACCAGGAACATATCACATATTTAATAATGGTAGATAACCATGTTGTTTTCATTATAATGTGTGTTGAATATTTTCTATTTTTCCACATTGCTTTGTGAAGCACAATTTCTAAAGAAAGTATCAGTGGAGAGCCCTTCCCTCCTAGTATGATTTAGCATGATAGAATAATGGCAATTACTTAAAGAGTATTTAATGTTAGTAGCCAATTTTTGTAGATATGTTCCCCAGACTCATGCCTCTTTTCTGGACCCTTGAACAATGGGAAATAGATTGTCTCACAGGAATATTTTTAATTATAGTTAAGGAAAATTGCAACTACAGCATGAAGTTTCAATAATAGTGGAGAAATTATTTGAAGTGTATACAACTCATGGCTATAGCTCTGCCCATCACAACCATTTTGTCTTAACAGCGAAAGTATTTTTCCAGTTTTGTAAATATTAGCAACTGTATGTGTTTTTATTACGAATGTCCTTATGGTATAATGAAAAACAGGTCTACCCTAATGTTAAATTTAAACAAAAAATAGAATGTGTGAATAGGGCTACTTTACTTTGGTGAATAGCACTATGAGTAAGACTCAAACCCCCCATCAGAGTATTCTGTAATAAAGCCACTTACTTTAGTTTTTGGTCGAGCTCCAGTTGACATTTGGTTTGGCACACCATTAAGAATCTGAATGTGTCCAGTTTTATTTTTACAAATTCGTTTCTTCTGATAATATATTTTAAAGATTTTTCTCCAGGTTTATAGCATTCTGTAGAAAAAAATATGCATACAAAGAACTATTCTCAGGCAATAATTCAAGAAAATTATTATTATGTCAATAAAAACACATTAAGATCCAAAATGGTTCTACAAATGAACATAAAATGTAAGAATACAGATACTGCTTGAATTACAAATGGGGTGACAGCCTGATAAACCCATGTTAAGTTAAAAATATTGTTAAGTGAAAATGCATTTAATACCTAACTTACCAAACAAACATCATAGCCAGCCTAGCCTACCTTAAACATGCTCAGTACAGACCTAACAGAAAACATATTTTACAATAAAACATTGAATATCTTTTTTGGGGGAGAGATTTTTGCTATAGGGTGCATGCACTCACTGAAGAGACAGAGACAGAGAATGCAAGAAATCATCCCCCAAGGGGGATGGCCACTCTGCAATTCTTTCTCTATTCTCTTCTTAGGACTTTGGACACACTTCCACATGTGCCCAGCATGAGTTTCAAGCCTTTAGGTCCAGGACTTGAACGGGGGTTGGCCATATGGGAGTCTAGCAGCGAGACCATTATGCTAGTTGCTGGTTTGGCATTAAATATCTTATTTAATTTACTGAATAATGTACTTGAAGTAAAATATAGAATGGTTGTATGGGTACCCAAAATACAATTTATACTGAATGAATGTCGCTTTTGCTCAGTCATAAAGTTGAAAAATCACAGTTCTAACCATCTTAGATTAGGAAAATCTGTATTTTAAAATATTAATAATTTTCCTATTAATATTTAGGCTTCCCAAGCCCTAATAAAGTCTAAAAACTTGTCAGTGTCAAAAATCTTCAGTACACATTATAATGAAAACAGTATTCAGGCCAGCAGGTGGCATGGAGGTTAAGGGCTCTGGACTCCCACCTGGCCAACCACAGTTCAAGTCCTGGACCTGGTGGGTCATTTTCTCACTTTCAGTCTCTCTCTTTCTCTCTCTCTCTCTTCCCCTTTCTGGGCATATTTAAATAAATTTTTAAAAAGATAATTAAAAAAAATAAAAACAAACAAACAAAAACAGTATTGTTAGCTACTATTACTAAATATGTAATGTGTTCCAGGTATAGAGCTACAGTCTGTGCTCTGTGCTCATTGTCAATGTCAGTTTATAAACCAAAAAGGATTTTAGGTAAAATACTGTACTATATTGCTGTATTTTAAAACCTTTTATAAATCAAAACTGAATATGTATTATTCATAAAAATTTGTCAAGTAAAAAACTAATACTAATACATATTAATGGTATATAATATAATGCTTGAAAATACATATAAAACAAGGAATGGTTAAATAAAGCTACAATTAACTTACTGCTTCACATATTTATTTTTTCATTTGTGGTGAGAGCACTTTGAATCTATTCTTTAGCAATTTTTTAAGATTATAGTACAATATATCACTAACTATAGTTACTGTGGTTATAATACCTCTTGAACTCATTCCTCTTGTCTATATAAAATTTTGTATCCTTTGAACACCAAAAGTCTTAAAAATTTAAATAATAAAATGTGATTCAGACAGAATAACGTTATTCTTTTAAATCTTATAATCTCAGTCCATAGGTTGTGGTGGGGAACGAAAAAGCTTGACACGTGTTCTTCTTTTTACAGAAGTAAATTATTAGAATATGGCAAAAATGCAGTTTTGTCTTCCATCATCAATTTGTTGTAAAACCTCCAAAATGCAACAAATCACTTTTATTTTTTTTTTTTTTAAGAATGAAACTAGAACTCTTGGCTGTCAAATGACATAGCAATAATGTAGATGTGAATGACTCTTGTACTTCCAAAAGTAAACTAGCCCCATCTGTTGCAAAAATGTATCATGACTTTTCCAACAAGGCAACAGTAGCCTCTATTGCAATGTTCTCCCTTGGTCTACTCCATCTGGAAAATGGAGAAAGTTCTGTAGAAGTAAGAAAATTTGGAAACACAATTTTTTCATTTAACTAAAATTTTACTCATTTCAAGTTGTTCCTTGGGGTAAGGACAGGGAAGATAAACAGACTTGTATATGAATGTAACACTGTCAAGTCTTACTTTGCCTGTAAAACAATACTTTTTGACATTTATTCAATACTTTGTGCCTAACAAATTTAGCTATTGGAATGAGAGTACATAGGAATATGCCAAGTCTATGTCGAATATTTAAATGTACTGTTTGGAAATTATTTTTCTCATACATTTGTTATTTGCAACAACTTCCTTTATGGGAGGATGGGGGAAGAATTGGAAATGATGAAAATGTAAAGTAATTATGATGGTAGCTAAAACTTTTTTGCAGGTATTATGTTACTTGTTTTATATATTTACTTCTCTTTGAGACAATCTCTGAATTTGTTCTTTTTTACAAAAATTTACTAGCTCCAAAAATGTGTCTGTGAAGAGTATGAAGAATTTAAGAATGTATATACACTTCTGCCCTTGACTAAAGGCCATGAGGAAGATTATAGGGCCATGTTCTATTTCAAAAACACAGCAACTTCAAAAATTTTAAGCTCTTAGAATTGAAAAAACTAGGGACAAATTAGACTATACTGAAAATGCAGCAAGGAAGCTGACTAGTACTGCATTCTTCTGATTACTGATAATGCCTATTTCTGAGAGCTGGTGGAAACACAGTTTGACAAGTATCTAAAAGAACACTTGCTATGGGCTTAATTATGAACTGAGGATGATATTAGTACCTATTTCAATAGGTTTGTTGTGTAATGCATAAAAAAAAAAGTAAGTACTGCTGCTGCTGCTGTTATGTTACAAGTCTGGGATAGTTCTCACTTTGGAAAGTTAAGGTCTATCTTCAGAAAAATTAGCATTCAGTTAGCATTCACTGACAGAATTTTATTTTATTATTTTAGTTTATTTTATACATTCAATTACTGTAGATCACTACAGCTCAATGACAGAATTTTAAACAAATAACCCTGTGTATGATACTTTCACGTTTACTATCTAACTTTTTCCCCCCAGAGATGGTGTATTGTTTCCCTAAAACTCTGTTTTGCTGTCTGATATAAGAATTCCTAAGGAGGATATGTTTCTTGACTGGAATCACATAGCCAATGGGAGGTAAAAATCCCTTGATTCTTCTATGATTTCTGTACTGTATTACTCTTTGTATGCTAGCCCATCTGCACTTCCAGAACTCCCCTTGTCTAAATACCAGCAAGAGTCTCTTGCATAGTAGAACTTCCTTCAGCTGGCTAAGGGGCTTGGGATCCTAACACTATGGATAATAAATACCTGTGGAGATTAGAAAATAGTTTTATCTGCAGGAACAAATTGATCATTATGACCCAGAAGTATTATAAGGTTCCCAAGATACACGCACAATTCTTTGTAGCACTTATTGAATGTATGCAAAGGCTCTTCACATTTTTGATGCTGTTATAAGTAGTATCTTTTCTTTAAAAAAATTGTATTTTCTGTGTCCTGTAAATTGTTGATATACAGAAGTTCCATTAACTTGTCTTTATCCATAAAAACTTGTAAGTTCCCTTTGTAATTTTAGTATTTTAAATATTTTTATTAAGTATATATGAATATAAAAAATTACCCTCTGAAAAGTCTTTGTAATCTTACACCTGGGACTAATGACAATTTTGTTTCCTTTCCACTCCTTGTACTTTTCTTTCATTTTCCAAATGACACTAGCCAGGATCTCCAGTTAATACTAGCTAGAATGGGATCAGCAGATGGCGTAATGGTTACATCACTGGACTCCCATGTAGTAGACCGTGGTTCGAGTCCTGGACCCAGTGGGTTAAACTCACACCGGGTGCATGTTTGTGCGTGCCCAAGAACCCAAAAGAAGAATGGAGGAGAAGGGACTGTGGTGTGGCCATCCCCTCTGGGGGGTGATTTCTTGCTTTCTGTTTTTGGCAAGTACACACGCCCTATAGCAAAAATCTCTCAAAAAAAACAAAACAAAACGAACAACAAAAAACTAGCTAGAAGTAATAATCCTAATCTTGTTTCTGATTTTAAGGTGAATGCTTTCAATGTTCCTCCATTTTTAAAAAAATTTTTGCCAGAGGGCACATGTACACGCCAAACAGAGAGAAAGTGAGAAAGCCCTCCTGTGGGGCAGAGTCATGCTGCCATCCTCTCTTTTCTATTTCTTCTTCCCTTCAGGATTTTGGGCATACATGCATGCACATGCACCTGGTGTGATTTCCAAGCCATTGTGGACTTGAATCCAGTGTGGGATCTAGCTGCCCTAACCACAGGCCAACACAAGCATAAATGTAATACTAGTGAGGCCACCAGGTGCTGGATGCCCACATAGCCAGCTGTGGTTTGCGTCCCGGTCCTGGCAGCTTGAAAAACAAAAAAACGAAAAACACCAAGTTCATGTACATGCATGTGTGCTTAGAATCTCAAGAAGAGAATGGAGAAGAGGGGATTACAGTGTGGCTATCCCCCCGAAGGTGGGAGTTCCTTTCTCTTTCTCTCTCACTCTCTTTGTCTGTCTCTCTCTGGTGAGCTCAAACATCCTATGGCAAAAACCTAAAAAAATAAAAAATAAACATCAAAAAAATAAACATATGTGATACTGGCTATACTTTTTTTTTGTTTTCTGGCTATATAGATTTTTGTTCGTAATCAGGTAGTTCCATTCCTGTGGTCAAAACTTTTTGAACTTTTTTAAAGGTTCATTCACCTATGTCTTTATTTGTGAGTAAGAAAGAGAAAGACAGCACCCCAAACAGGTTCCTAATGTCAAAATCCACCATCCCCAGCCAGTCCTAGGTAATGTATGTGTGTACCCAGTGTACCCAGGGAGGTTTTCAGACACAAACTTGGAACCTTTCCCTGTGAGTCAGCTTCAAAGATTATCATGTTTTGCCATTATCAGCTCCTGATCAAAAATTTTAATATGAAAGATGTTGAATTTTACTAGGTTCTTTTTCTCTATTAAGATGATCAGATTTTTCTCAATTTTTGAATTACATTAATTAACCTAAACCAACCATGATTTGA